CTCTTCGCTTTTCGAATTGAGATAGCAAGGTCCAGTATGCGTTTATGATCGGAGACCCAGGCTGCAATCTCGTATTCATTCTTCATGTAGGTAAATTCCTGGGGTAAGCCAGTTGAAAGTCGACGATGATGGAATTGGTGATGGTGTCGGCGATGGAGATGAAGGTATCGGCGATGGAGGTGATGGTATCGGTGATGGAGGTCCTGACGATGGAATATCTTCAAATGCTGGTTGATGAAAGAGGATAATGAACAGCGGTTCATGAATAATCTAACAAATTATTGATAAATGTAAACATGTACATACGAAGACATTCTGCAAGTGTTGGCTTGTTTTGGAGGAGGGACTGCTGAACACAAATATAAAATATTATAATTAGCATTGTGTAATGATGTAATTAAAGAAAGTCTTGTCACATATTGACTTAGGTGGAAACACACCTTTCCCTTTCGACGATCGATTCGTTCTTGTCTTCATATTTAGCTATTGCCGAACAGCAGCACGGTCGTATTTATAAATGATAAACGCGACGTGCTTGTTTATATGACACATATGCCGCGCTTCTTTATAAGCTTAACAGTATATCACAAAAGCGCGTTTTATGTCCAGTTACTTCTTTGAGATACGTGCTACACATATTAGGCATGTTTGTTAGTGGAAGCTAAGAGCGAATGTCAGGTTAGAGAATTTAATCAACCAATAGAAATAATTTGTTACTATTAACGTAACACGGTATTTCTGCAACTGTGTAACTGTGATAAAATGGTGACAATTCAGCGTGTGAGAAAGTATGAGAGATTATTGAAAGTGTAAGATCCCATCCGTCAGATCCAAATAGTCTGATGGCCTCTGACATTTTCACTCGAAACATTAAATGAGCTTGATAATTTCTAGCAATCGTAATGCCAGACATCATTTACCATACTAATTACTAACATGTCCGCCACGATACCTTTAGCATGCGGCTGTCATCACACTTCCTCCACCTAGACAGTTGATCAGTTTCAAGTCGATAGATAGCATTCATATAATCCCAATAGATGCCACGCTCTTTCATTATCTTGGTTAAACATCCCAGACATCCTATATGCATTTTCCGAGCGCAATCCTTTTCTACAACTCCTCTCCACACATCACTCCTACATGTCACATGGACATTCTATTATACGTCTATACATCACTTCCGAAGGCTACTATTACAGATCCGTAAGAAGTAAATAATGGTTATAGAAGGGTCATAATTCCATCGAAACCGATACATCATTAGCATATCTTCATTGACATATACCAGTAGCCAATGCACGCTTAGCACACATCATCAAATCAACTCATGATCCAAACATGCATTGGATGTAATGCGCACGGTATGCTGTACTCTAACCAGATCGTTGCTGGTACCCTTGTACGGAGGATGGACATAGAATGTCTGCACATAGGCAAGAAAATTCACCCAAGAACATAGGCCAGTCTATGCTTAAGAGGGCTTCAAGATTTCATCCCTGCCGTAGAAATTGAGTTTTAGTCTAAATCTCAATTCAATGAAGAGCCCAACATATTAATATACAATAAATGTATTACTCACCCGTATCTCTCTCTATATTCTTCTGCTCGTCGTTTGAGCTGTTTGTTTACTTGGTACCGAAGGTTGCTCAGCACATTCGAAATTTTCTCCAACGTCTGGGGCTGTGGGATGTGATGCCTTTTTATTTAGTATTTCTGAAGCCATGTTTTCGAGGAGCTCCGCTGACGTATTTCTGGTACGTAAAAACAGTGCTCTGGCTTCCACATACAGACGATCTTCTATCTCACGCTATTACAGATTGCCAACATTAATACTAGAAAAAATACACAGTAGTTATATGACTAGCGTGCTCACCCTATCATTTCCAATCATCTTCCCAACGTCATCGTCTTCGCCATCATCAATTCTCTGTCTCTTCGTTTTTCGAATTGAGATAGCAAGGTCCAGTATGCGTTTATGATCGGAGACCCAGGCTGCAATCTCACATTCGTTCTTCATGTAGGTAAATTCCTGGGGTAAGCCAGTTGAAGTCGACGATGATGGAATTGGTGATGGTGTCGCCGATGGAGGTGATGGCCGGTGATGGAGGTCCTGACGATGGAATATCTTCAAATGCTGGTTGATGAAAGAGGATAATGAACAGCGGTTCATGAATACTCTAACAATTATTGATAAATGTAAACATGTACATACGAAGACATTCTGCAAGTGTTGGTAAATGCTGTGCTTGTTCTGGAGGAGGGACTGCTGAACACAAATATAAAATATTATAATTAGCATTGTGTAATGATGATAATTAAAGAAAGTCTTGTCAAATATTGACTTAGGTGGAAACACACCTTTTCCTTCCGACGATCGGTTCATTGTCTTCATGTTTAGTTGGTTATTATGTGACTCGTCTACGAGTTTCTTCTTCTCACTATCACTATTGCCGAACTGCAGCACGGTCGTATTATCGATAAACACATATGGCGCGCTTCTTTGTAAAGGATAGAATTTAATTAGCTTAACAGTATATCACAAAAGCGCGTTTTATGTCCAGTAAACTTACGTTACAGTGACTCCTCTTTTTGGCTATGGACAAATTCCGAAATACGTGCCACACATAATAGGCATGTTTGTTAGTTGGCAGCTAAGAATGAGACAAGACGTGCGGAGCGTGAGTTTTTGCACTTGGGAGATGATGAAGCATAGATAGCAGTGCTGGTAGATGAGACGAAGCGGATAACGGCTTATATTAAATGATTGCCGTATCGATGGCGGAGCATACGATAATTCTGATTGAGGTGTAAAGTGTGCTTTTGTCTGAAGTGCATTAGATGATAGCTGAAGGGTAGCAAGTGGTGGTATCGTCTGCACAGTAAATGCTGGTTGAGTTCGAAGAGTAGCAGGCGCCGTTTGGAATCTCGTTAAAATTTCCATCTTTTTTTTGGTGTTCGGCCTCACGTTCTAACTTTCCTGCTGGTCAGTATTTTGTCCAGCCGCCCAAAAAAAAAAAGTTAACTGTTCGGTGGGGTTAGGTTTTTTTGTCCCTGTTTTTGAGAAGACCCACAATGACTCATGCTTTTGCAGAGTATTTTAACAGCAGTAAATGGTAGTTGCAACTGAAATGTAATAGGTGGCATTGTCGGGCGTGTAGTTGATGGCGGTTGCGCCTGTGTAGCAGATAGAGATAGAGCTGTGGATTGAAGTGGAATAGACGGTGTTGCTGGTTGAAAGGGGGGGAGGTTGAGGAGGAAGTGACTGGGGACAAAGTTGTTGAGGCGCTATTCCATTGCCGCCAATGTTTGGCGTAAGCTAAGACCGAATGCAGGGCAATAGTCGGACTTACAAACTTTGTCACTCACTTCTATCGTTAGTCTCATGTTTGAGCTGAGTAATTTTAGTGCTTCCACTGATTCGGTTTCACTTAACTCTCCCTCCTTCCTCGTCGTCTATTTGTGCAATTTGAGGCTTTTCTTCCGTGAGCGTGTTGATATTCGTCAGGTATAACCAATAAAATGTGGGTTAGAGAACTCAGTCAACCAACGTCTATATAATAAACCAACATCACAAGATGTCAAACGATAGTTCGACACTTTGTAGATAAACCCGAAGTGTATTACTGTACACAAGCGTGCGTCAGTTGTTGAATTGAATAAAAGCTCATCGGTGCACGGAGCTCGAAGAGTATACCAATTGGGATGACGATCAGCGTGTGAGAAAGGAGAAAAAATGTGGGAGAACACTTAAAGCCATTGATAGATTGGTACCAATACGAGATTGTAATGAAGTCGTCAATAAATTGCGACGATTTGGTATCAATACGAGATTGTAATAAAGTCGTAAATTGATTGCTACGATTCAGCATGATAATGATCCATGTCGATCACTCACCGTGCCAGATCTCGGCACAATCTTTTCAAATTATTTCACAATCTTGCGGACACGTGCCCACAATATCGTTGTGAGCGCGTACAGATGTAGCAGCGACCCGAGATCTCTTTGAACTCGTGTCGATATCTAAGACAACCCGTGGCGAGATTGTCAAAAATTCAAGGTTTCTGTAAAGTTCGTGGAACATGCGTAATTATGTAACTTACTACATAAACAATCGTTATATTTTTCGATTTATTTTACATAGACAATGTCTTTCTATTTTGTGATAAAACGAAACCTGAAAGGGGGATCACTATACATTCAATGCATTTCAAATCCGCTCTATTGATGTTACGTTACTTGTTACAGTTGTATATTATTATAACCAATAAAATACCAATTTATTTATAAAATCCGTAAATATCAATTTGCTTTTTCTTTACCGTTGAGCGTTACATTCATTAAATATCTATGCTAATCGAGAACTCGCACCGTAACCCTCTGGAGGTGTAATATGCTCATATGAATAATTTTTATTTCAGCACCCCTCCAATTTAGCAAATTAACGTTTAAAAAGGGAAATGCGTCGTTATTAAATTGTTTGCATCTCCTGGGAAATTTGAACTGAACCGAGCAAAATTTATGTTAGAATATGAAAGATGACGAAAACGGTTCCAACGTCGTTATAGGCAAACTGAATTACTTACTTTGGTCCACGTTAATAACCTCATGTTCTTGTTTGTTCGAATCCAAGCAAACCCAGACTTATGTTAAAATATCAAAAAAAAAAAAAGACAATGTTTTCAAAAGTGTTTATAGGGAAATTGAATTACTTACTTTCAGAGTCTTTCTGATTAAACATCGTTTAAATTTTGGTCCCGATCTGAAGCGAACAACATTTACGTTAAAATTGAAGAAACCAAAAATGGGTTCAAACGCCGTTATAGAGAAGTTGAATTATTCACCTTTTTTATCATCAGTAGTAGTTTTACGATGAACATTTGAAGTACCAGATTTATGTTAGAATGTGAAAGAAATTATTGAAACGTGGTATAGAGAAATGAATTACTGACCATCGTAGTAAATGGAAAGGTCCTTAAATTTATTAATTTCCGTTTCAATTGCGATGCGTATTTTTTTAGTTTTATCAATGTAAACAACATAAAAATTGTCATTAAAAGTCAATATATCGACTAGTGTCCTATCATCCGGCTTTCCTTCTTCATCAGAAGAAGCAATATCGAATGTTGTGTTATCATAACACTCCAGGTGTCCGTGTTTATCAAAAGAAGCGGTATAGATTTTATTTTTGGTATCGATAAAAGCCATACGCATCTTGCCATTCTTAATCAATGTGCTGATTGGGGTTTTGTTTGTCTTTTTCGTATGCATCTCTTTCAACGTTTCGTTCTCATAAATGATAGATACTTCATTAGTTTCTGGATCGGTAATTGAAAAGAAGGGCCTATTCGGTTCCTTCAGAATTTGACTAGTAATTAGAAACAATGGAAGGGTAAAAACGGCTAATAAAGAGTTTGTAACTATTGTCGAAGATGACAAAATTGTTGTCATAGCAAAGCCTTTAAGAATATAAACAATAAGTAACATGGAAACGATACAGTAAACCATATTGTAGAGTTTAAAGATTTTTCCACGTTTGGTACCAACACTGCGAAACAAATATAAGAAAGGACACAAATAAAGAAAGGAGAGAGGAATGATTATATACAGATACTCATTAGTTTTGTAAGTCGTTTGGCAAAAATATGCAAAAAAGTAAAGGTTTATAATGAAATCACTTGTAGC